TCTCTCTCTCTCTCTCTCTCTCTCTCTCTCTCTCTCTCTCTCTTTGCAATAATTGATGAGCATATAGGCAGGTGTAGTGTCTCATACTTTAATCCTAGCACTCAAATGTGGCAGAGGCAGGTGGATGTAGATGTCTAAGTGTAAGATCAGACTAGACTACAAAGCCATGTCCATAACAGTTGGGGCTGTTACACAGAGAAATCCTGTCTCAAAAAACAAACAGAAATTGGTTGGAAGATACTGTACTTGAATGACTCTTCATTTGTTACAAATGTTATTTTATTCCACATTTCTATACTTTTTTCAATTGCATGAGACATCACCGAAAATGGAAATTATAAAATTAAAGCAAATTGTTGTCTTTTCATCTCTGAGCTCAAATAGAGCTTTCATAATCCCTCAGTTTTTAAGTATGGCTAGTAGGAATTCGAAAAACATTTGGATGAGCTAAAACAGAGAGAGGCATTTGACTGTATATTATTATCCTTTATCATGTGGACTAATCTACTATACTATTTGTATGAATATTCCAGATGTTTCATTATGAACAGGTATAGGAATTATCTCAGAAACATTACCTAAATTGTCCTTTGCTATAGATGATGTAAAATTCTGCGATATTATCAGGTGGGTGGTTGTGTTGTTGTTGTTGTTTTTGTTGTTGTTGATGATGATGCTTCCCCTTTAGGTGATGACAGATGTATTTTGAAGGGAGGATATACTAGTATTTAGTAAATTTCTCTCATTTGGGGAAAATCAGAGACAATTTCACAGGATGTATGGTGTTTAATGCAGGCAGTGGAAGGTTGACTGTTCTGAATATGCTTGTTGATTGAGTGGTTTTCTAGTGTCTACAAATAGAAGATGAGAAGGATTGGGAAATGGGGGTATAGATCAGATGTGATTTTGGTAGACATTGTGCTGGACATATCAGATATATAGCAAAGGAGAAAGCTAGGCAGATATGCTCATGGTGGGTCTGGAGAAGAACTGCTTGTTTTGGTGGAACTCAGCCTACTCCTGAGCTAAGTTGATTCTGGAATAGAGCAGTTGATTTTGCCAAAACTCACACAACTTAAGTCATTTTTGTGACCTTTCCAGTGTCTTCAATATGTGAAAGAGATTATTGTTGTATGAAAAAAAATGTCACCTAGGAACTCACACACACAAAAAAAAAGTTGTTGTGGAGTAAGGGACTGGGGACACTGTCAGTTATTAAAGGCTAAGGTGGCTTAAGTAATACGTTTCATGTGAAGGGCTCTTGGAGACCTGTAGTGATTGACGCACTAAGAAGTGGCTCTTCCATATGACTCAGCTGTATCTCTTCTGGTTATATACATGAATATCTGGGAGTCATCACACCACATAAACACTTGCATTTTTATCACTGCACTATTCAAAATTTCCATAACTTAGAACCAGCACATATGGAAGTTCAGATTTTGTTATTCTGGAGCTTCAGTATGGATGTTCATGGGGCTGGTCCACCCCATTGCACTCTCAGAGGCTTCCTTTCTGTCCACATTCTCATCAGCATTTATTATTGTTTACTGGAATCATGATGACTGTTCTGACTAATGTCAAATGAAATATTCTTTTAGTTTTAATTTGTGCTCATATGATAAATTAAGATTGTAGAAGATTTATAAAATATTTTTAGCCATTTGTATTTTTTCTATTGATAAATGTCCATTCATGGTTGGAAAGCTGGTTTAGCTATTAAATGCTCATAATGGAAAATATTAGAGAAATATCTATTCAATGTTCTGTATTTACCTTTTGGGACAAGTGTGTATTCTGAATATTATGCTCCTTTCTGATATAGAGGTGGCAAAGATTTTTATTTTATTTTGCTGATTCTACTAAATGAACATAGCTATAATGTGACTTCTACTATACTTCTAGATCAGTGCCTTCCTCAGCTATCATCAGAAACACTTCCTCCTGCAGCAGAAGGGAACAAACACAAACTCCCACTCAGATAAAGTATTCAGAGAATGAGAGACCTAACACAACCTTAACTGGAATGTCTTCACCAAATCTTAAAAGTATGCAGCAGTGGAGATCTAAAGAGTGTAAGAGCTAGAGGGGACGGAAGACACTAAAAAATCAGGCTTTATAAACAAAAAAGACTAACACATATGTGAATACACAGAGACTGAGACAGCATGCAGTGAGCCTGGACATGCCTGTAGCAGTTAAATTCCTAGTGGTGAAAACATGCCCTATCCCTAACCCATACACCATCTTCTGTTGGTAACCATGTGCAAATGAAAATTTGGTTCTCCCCAAGAGAGTCCCACAGAAGAAATGAACTAAGCATGCCCAGGAGAGCATATGAACAACATAAAATAAACTCAGAAATAAATTTGGAGGTTTCTTGTCTCATAGAATTACATCATGTCTCTTTCTCTGTCTCTGTCTCTGTCTCTGTCTCTCTCTCTCTCTCTCTCTCTCTGTCTCACTAATAATTTTATTTTCTTCTCAAAGTTGTATCTAAACGCACTCTTAAGTATGTGGGGATGTATTTGCCTGTGTGTTGCATGACAGTAGGATCAATACAGTGTGTGTATAATTAGGAAAGGAGTTTTATTCTATTGTCTTACAGGCTCAGGGGTAAAACAACAGTACAGTGGGTATTCTGTGAGTTCAAAAGCTGGAAACTTGGAGTTTAGTTAGAAGCTAGGAGCCCTGAAATATTGAAGAAAGTCATAAGTGTAAACATCATTAAGGCTAAGGAAGCTGAAGCCCCATGCATCAAAGTGAGGAACAGCTATAGTAAAAGTTCTGATCAATGAGAATCTGCTAGGATAATGTGAAAAACCTCCCATTTGCTTTTAGCTCTGTTCTAGCACCAAGCCTTTTAGATCATGCCACACACTCATATAGTGTTCCTTTTGCACAGAACTTCCTCACTTGACTTCCAATACTATTTGGAAAGCTTCTTACAGATACACATAAACATGTGCTGTACTAACATTCTTGATGTCTCCTTAGTTCAGAGAAGTTGATAGTCATAAAGAACTGTTGCATGAAGATTGCAGTAACTGTAGCTTGGACAGCTAGACATTATATTTTCATGCAGTTTGAATGAGCTATTAAAATTAATTTTTAAATATATTATTTTAAGTTGATTGATTGATAATTGTGACCACACTTGCCACCCCTTCTACTCTTCCTCAAACACCATTTAACTCATG